CAATGATAAATGATAATGTTTTATTTTAAAATTTTGTTATTATGTTAGATACACATATTATAATATATACATAATAGTTCAATACTACGCGATAAGGTTTGTGACAATCAATATACCTACTCTACGGTGGCTATCGTCGATTTTTATTTCGTTGAAAATTATTTTTAGATTTATAGATACAATAACGATTACGTACGATCGACTTGGATTGTTAACTACGATAACAATGATAATTATGACTTTCGACTGTCTGTGGCATGAAAATCTCGTTTAGATAATTCAGTCTGTTCGATTTTTTACAAAATTGGTTATTTAAAAATTAGTTTTAATTGTTTACTTGTGTGTAAGGGAAAAAGAAAAATTATTAAGCCCCCCCCAAGCAAAAATTCTGGGTGCGCGCCTGCTTAAAACACATGGCCTGCCACTTAATAATATTTTGTTTTTAATTCTAATTTCTAACATAATATTACATATTTTAAGTAGCCAAGGAACTTGTCAAATATACTTTATACTTGAATTTTATTTTAATTATAAGTCCTAAATAAGTTATTCTTATTTAGAATTTGTATTTTTGAATGTGTTTTGAACTTTTGAGGCATTGTACGACTTTTTAGGGTAATAGTCATGGCTAGTAGGTAATTGTAAAATTTAATCAATTTAAATATTTTCCTTGTTTTAAAACTATGTACCTACATTTGTTAATCACTGATCTTTTAAAATTTATCTGTGGAAATAAAAACAAATTATCGGGCATCGTATATTAACGTTTCATAACATTTTTTGCCTACCTACCTCTAATATTCTGGAAAATGACAATCGTCAATGGCATTAGTTCATATAATCATATACAATGCCGGGATATGCCCTTGCGGGTTGCGGCCTTGCAACGTCGTACATCAGCCTTTTGAAATTGGTTGCTTGCAATTGCATCTTAAAATGTGTTTTAACTCTCTCCACGATCTTTCAATATTTATATATCTTCATCGTGGTCCCGAAATATACTTATATAGTTATATACCTACACACTTCGTTATATATAGGATAACAAACTGCCTTCGCTCAGAATTGTTTTTTGAATACAAATTTAACACGTAGGTATATGTGGGTATCTAGTGACCCACTAGACAACATAGTACTAACTAATTTCCCTTTCCTACAAAAAGAGGGTGATGAAAAAAATTGAATCATTTTTACTACCACAAAAGGTGATGACAGACACAAATAAAAAATATATATCTATATATAAAAAGGTGCTCTGCAGTAGGTTACAAGTGGGTCACTGTATGGTATTAAATTTGAATTCAATGATATATCATTGTATAAGAAAAACGATTCTGAACGGAGACGGTATGTCAGTCTAGGTATAAGACATATTATATAATTATCTATGGTATTTAAAAATGCGGCTCTCGTCACAGTCGTATGCGGCTCGCGGTCTTATTTACAAAAACCAAAATATTTTAATTTTTTTTATGTATACATTTATAAAAAAATGTTTTTATTGTATTTATTTAAGGCTATAGTATTATAGTGTATAGAATATAGATTCAATCAAACAAAAAAAAAATAATTAATATGAATAATAAATTAAAAATTTAAACATTAAGCTAATTTTGTTTGCGTGGTACTTTTTTCGTGTCTACTTTTTTAGTAAGCTTCTTAAGATCTGGTTGAATTGATATAAGAGCAATTCTTAGTAATTCTGTAAGATGATCATCAGTCAAATTTGAACGATATTTTGACTTAATTATTTTCATTTTCATTGTTTTCATTGTTGATTCACATGAATACGTCGTTCCAAAAATTGATACAAATTTTACCGCACAGTTTTTAATACTTGGGTATTTTAATATAGAAATATGTTTCCAAAATTCCAATATATCTTTATTACTTTTGTGGTATAGAAGTACACATTAGATAATTTGGCTATTGACAAAATTTTATTAATACATGTGGCTCACGTACATAGTCATGTTGGCCACCCCTGCTATAATAGATATATAATAGTATACTTTAGAAGTTCCAAAAGTACCCACGAATAATATTATACAATCACAACAAAATAACTAAAAAAGTTATTCTAGGTGTTATCTATTATGATACCTATATAATAGTATAGTAACCTACTTTACAAGTTTCAATTTATTGTGAATATGTATTTTTAATATTTTTGAACTGCTATTTTAACAATATATCAGGAGCTGTGTATTATACATTTTTTGACCCAACAGATATTTTATTGATATTTATAGAAAAATAAATAAATTGAAATATTAAATTGTCCGCAAAAAGCTCAAAACAAATCAATTTTGAAAATTTTAGAAACTATAGGAATTAATAAAATAAACATTCAGTAAAAATTGTATGTATTTAAAGTCATTCATTTTTGAATAACAACAAAATAAGAAAATCGCTAAATGAGAAATCGATTGAATATCCAATGTTGTAAAAATTTTAATTTAAAATACTCATAAAAAATTAATTTGACTTTCTTCTAGAAATTTTTTATTGATAAAGGTAGACAAACTTATGAGGGATCTTGTATTCTTGTATTACATTATCAAATCTTAGATCTAAAAAAAAAATTTTTTATGAATTTCTAAATCAAAATAATTTGCAAATTTTCGTAATTTTTGCGTTTTTTGTCAATATTTGAACTTTAAATGCTTATAAAAAAAAATTGTGACTATGGATTTTTAGTTTTTTTCATCTGCCTTTGAAACAATATAGGAGCCTTCTATTAAATTTTTAAGTTTTTTTAACCAACAAATAAAATTTGATTGATATTTATAGAAAAAAAAAACTAAAAATGTCCATTAACAGCTCAAAATATTTGGAAAATGTTGAGGTGTATAGAAAATGCTAATACAAACATTCAGTCAAAATTTCATGTACCTACGGTCATAATATATAAGAGTTACATCAAAAACCAAAATCGATTTTTTCGAAAACAATCGTTTGTTTTTCACGACGCTTTTAAAAACTTCTGCGAAATTTTTACTTTTGACTCCCCAAAGTACCAACTAGATTCACTTTCCTATCAGAAAAGATACTGTTGAAGATAATCTAAGCATTTTTACTGTCCTAAAACGTGATGACAGACACATAAATAAAAATAAATAAATAAAAAAACACACATCATTGTAAAAGCAATACATTCATTGATCCGCTCAAAATCTAAAAATGGAAAATTTCTGACTTTCAGTTTGTATATTATAGATGTAAGTATGTAACTAATGGAAAAATTCTAAGTGATTAGTAGTAGTAATAGTAGTATACTAGTATATATACTTCAACACTTAGTAGGTAGGTTTCTATCTATGTTAACCACCATTTTAGATTTTAAGCAGAGCGATGGATGTAAATACTGATATTATTAATTTTAAGAAACATAATAATTTAATACACATCTCATATACTTTCTAGCAGCACAATGTCACCTATCGACAATGTATATTGATAAATACAATGTATCTTTAATAAAAAAAAAAAAAAAAAAAAAAACAATGTATTTAGAGCATTTAAGTGTAATATTATACTATTTTATTTTAATTATTCAACAAAATATGTAACAGTAATACGTTATTACAATAACATCATAATTCAAAATTTAATATGAAAAATTATGTTATGTAAATAAAAAACAACTAACTTTTACTTGAACCTAACTCATAGATGTTTTTTTGGATATTAAAATAATATGTTGAGGTATTATACGTGATTGTTAAGTTTTAAAATCAATTAGTAATTAATATATCAAATATTGATTAAAGGGATTCAATACCGTGATATTCTGTCTTTGTCTAATACACACGCGACACAGAAATTTAGATGGGTTCTTTGTCAATTGATCTAAAGAAGTGATGAAAAATCTAAAAACCGTTTTGAATTTGTCATGTCAACTTGAAATAGACTTTTTTTTAATTTTAACTTATCCAAAAATTGAAATACTATAATTTTTTAATTACTCTTTTTTATTATAACATTTTTAGGAATTTGGGGGATAATATCAAAAATGTGGGAAAGCCGATTTTAAGTAGACTTGACTACAAATTCAAGAACATAAGTTCATTAGATCAATTGGTATGTTTGGCAAAAAAACCCATTTTAAAATCTAAAATACTATGTTGTGTGTATATTAGACAAAGACAGAAAATCAACGAGTGCAATCCCCTCAATGGTACAATCATAAAATAAAATACTAAATAATCAAAAATATTTATAAAATAATTAAAACTATAATTTTTTTGTTTAAACTAAACATTTATTTGCAATTAATTGTTATGAATTATGATGAACATTTTGTTAAAACAAATATAAGATATTCAGATAATTAATAATTATAGTTTAGTAGACCTTTTGTCAAATAAAATTAAATAGTTGTATTATAACCAATGCATGGTAACGGATACTCTCACAAAACTAATTTTAATTATTATTAGATTATTTAAAAATGTAACAATTAATAATTCCTCCATGCTTTCAAATTAAATATTCCCAATTCCTACATAAATATAACATACTAACACATCCACATATCACCGTATGTCCGTATTTTTCATTTTTCACAGTTCACCATATCATACCTCTTTTTTTTTATGTATTTCCGTCTTAGCGAGGGTTTTCATCAACTTTCATCACAAAAATGTGTCCGTTTCCGGCTTGGAGAGATTTCTGTTTTAGCAGGATAAAATCATATGTAATTTGAAAAGGGAAAAAAATGGTCAGTAATACCGAGGTTTCTGTCTTACCTTCCGTTTTAACGGAGTTAAAATAAAATTTATACTTATAAATTGTACTTCAATAAGTTTTGTTTTATCAATAACATTAATTTTTTTTTATAAGTATATTTAATAATTAATAATAAATTATTCCTGTTAAATTTCACTTAGGTGAAGACATACATTTACTTAAATAAAACACAATATACCTTCACTTACATATTTGTAATAGGTAAAATAAATGTTTAAAATACAAAATATTGTTAAATCAGACTTAGTTTATTGTTGTTGTCCTAGAACATAACCTCTACCCCAATCATGGCGACGGAAGTTTAATCCACCTTCTCCTTGTTGGTTTCCTGCTGCTGGGGCTGCAGTTGGAGCTGCTCTAGTTGGCGGTTGACCAAAACCATGAACTGTCCTTTGATTAGGAAAAAATTTGTAACTAAAAGAACAATAAACATGTGATTAAAAAAAATATTGGGTTTCTTCCAGAAATGTATTTTATTAATTATTAGGAATATTATAATATTAATATTATTACTAACAATATCTGAGGTGTTTGTATAAGCTGTGGTCCGCCCATTTCTTGTGGGTATTTGAACATGAGGAAAAAATAAATATGACCCACAATAATTCCGACTAATTCCTGAAGTCCTCTGAAAAATAAAATTAAAAAATATTACTTATTATTATTATTATAACTAAATAAAAAATAATATATTAGATTATAAGTAGTGATCATTAATTGATTAATTAAATTATATTTACCCTCCAGAAATAATCAAGTTGAACCCAAACAATACCCATGGCAAATACATGGCTTTGAAACGAGTTCCAAACCAGAAACTTACAATTACGTCTTTATTTAGTTGGCACCATACATATAAAATACTTAAGACCATAGGATCCATGAGAACCTAGAGAAAAATTATTTTGTTAAAATTAAATGTATTGATTTCAAGAACATAATACAGAATAAATGATTTACCGGTATATTTGCCAAGAGTCCAATAATGACACAACATATCCAATTAAATATAAGTAAGAAAAAATAATCTGCCGGTCTTCCACTAAATGAATCTATATTAATATGAAAATAAAACGTGTTTAGAATCACTAAAATCGGTCAACATAATATAATTTTCATGGAAATATAATATTTAAATTACTGACCTGTTTCCAATCTTATTGAATAACTATATAGAAAATAACAATTGACTAAGAAATGAAATCCATTTCCAGGTGATAATGGGTACATTAACAAAGCAGTGACTGCTCTCCAAATCTATTTCGCAAGAGTAATAAATATTAGTATGAAAAAAGATGTAGATAACTACTAAGATCTTTTTTAAGCTGTGATATAAATTATAGAAACTACAAATTGATAATGAGAGTTTTGGAACTTACTTCAAACTTTTTGATAAATGGTTCATAAAATAACATAAAGTTAAAAGGATTCAGAACACCAAACCGTCCGGCTAAAGTCAAGATAGCAGTCAGGGCAAGCCATCGTTTAGTGAAATAAGGTATGGATGTAAACCAATCCGGAAGTTCAGCCATCTGTATACAAATAAAACGACAATATCAAATGGTATATCGCGAACGTAACATATCGGTTGATGCTACATTTCGTTAACCGAACACACACTGAAACTATAATGCCAATTCGTATTATTTCTTACCGCGTTATAGTGAGCCGCAGTGAATTTATTCTTTGGAGAAATTGTTCGACTACAGAGTGTTTGGCATTATATTCAAAAACTTGAATATTCGATCGGCTTTTCAGTAGAGATTATTATTGATTGACAGCAGATAGACAAGAAATAACAATACTTTAAATTTTAATACTACCTATTTTAAATAATAATATTTAATAATGATTAATGAAAAAAAAAATATTATACATTGATAAGAACAAATGATAACACAAAAAGAACACGTATGTATAAGTTGTTGCTCGTGTAGTCGAATATTGCAACTTGCAAGTAGTCATAAATACGATAGTTACAAAGTTCTTCCAAAATTATTTTGTTCTAATGTACAACTCTCCCAATTATTCTAGGAGTTGCAGTTACACAGTTACAGTTTTAACTGTAAATACTATTAATTATATTTTAGAGGTCTGAGGTATTATATTAATATACCTATTATTATTATTAATTATTATTTATTAGTCTTGAAGTTATATATTATATAAAATACAAATATTATGTATTTAATTGCCAAAGTCATTAGCATTACATTTGCATATACATTGCTTAAAATGTATAGGGGATAAAACAAGCATAAAAATTAAGTTTTAAATTAAATATTTAGATATTTATTTAGGTACTATTTATTTTTATGTACCTACACCTACCACCTAAATACTTTTCGTTTTTCGCACTCAACTTATAAACACTGATTAAGACACATTTAATTCACTTCAATACAAAGACTTAGGACCGGTTGGATATATGTTTTATAACTCAGACTAGATCAACAACGTTTTTGGAAGAAATCAAAACAATAAATTAGGCTTTTGTTAAACAATCATCCGTTTATTGAAAATACTTAAGCAATTTACAAGTTATTTTTATTTTTATTTAATTATGGAAGTTTATTTTCAAATATATCTATATAATATTCTGCATATTTTGACAATTACTCATTAAAATCAAACGTACCTATTTTGTATTTTAAGACAATTTTTGAAAGTATTTCACCAATTCCTGAATTAGTCTTACACTTTAGTTATTGTTTATGTAATTATGTTGTACAATGCATCATGCATGAGAGTGTATAAAAATACTTAAATACCTATCGATCTATTTTCAGATTTCTGGAAAACAATTTCACATACCTACTCGCTTTAGGTTTATTTGGTTTATATTTTGTACAAATTAAAATATTATTAGTTATTATGGTGTGTCAGTGTACATACCTATAGACAATAGCCTGAATAGCCGTATTAGTTATTTTAGTTATAACTTATAAGTATGGTGTAGATACTAATATACTATTATACGTTATGAACAAAAAAATAATAATAATATTATCAAAATTAATCCATATAGGTACATTTTTCTTTATTAATCTTAGACATTTTTTTAACCAGACGATTGGGGCAAACCGTTGTGTAGAAACGCTGGTGCGAAATCAGGGAATATCCATTGCCGGCTTACAGACATACTGCACGAAAGACATTTTGAGGCGGACTGTCACCGGGGTTCTCCTAGGGTCACGAGATGCACTGTAACGTGCGTCCCGACTACCTACTCCGACTGAGGTTCAGCCGGCAGTATTCTCGACGGAGCTAGAAGAGAATGTGCAGGTGCTAGACGGCAATTACTAAATACTATGGCATCAAGATCAGCAAGCAGCAAGCAGAGGACTAGTCTGAAAATCAGCCTTTGCCGAAGGACCACGATCATGGAAATTCTGCCACGTGTGTTCGTTCTGTGGGAACGGGGTCGGCCAGGCGGTTCGGACTAGAAAACTTACGCCTGCAGATCGAGGTGCGGGCCATGCATGCCGGACACGGAGATGGTGACAGGAGGAGGAACTTTTGGAGGTGACGGTGAAACTGATCGAAGGGTAAGGAACTTGACGTTGACGGCCGTTCCAAGTAGCACGACATGCAGTGCCGTAACTAGGCTACTTGAGGCCTGTGTGCAAACCAAAATATTGAGGCCCCTTGGCCCTTATTATCTTTTTCAATACACAACTCAAAAACTTTTTTTGCAATTTTTAAAGTCAGCAGACAAAAAAACCGGTCGACAATTCTGCCGATTTCTTTGTATTCAGAAGGGCCAGTTCTATAGACCATAAAAAAATTAGGTTGTACAATAAATAAATTAACAATACAATTCAGCCTCATTGAAAATATAATTTATTGTGATTTAAATAGGTAAGTTGGGAATTTCAATCTTGAAGTGGTTGAAAAATTGCAATATTTTATGGATATGGCAGAGCTTGCAAACGTTATAATAACATTATGATTATTGATTATAACGTTTTATTTTTTACAAAAAACGATACATGTTTGTAAACGTAATTATAACGGAATGCGATAATCAAAAATAATTAAATACAGCATAACAAAACATATAAAACGGTTTTAAATTCTTAAACTACATAGCGCTAGCGTTTTAACTTTCAAAACGGTTTGAGTATAAACCGTTTTAACGCCATCATATAAACCTAGTAATTTACTAGGTTAAAAAATAAATAATAAATAATTTATATATTTTAATAATTTTATATTAGTTTAATATTAGTCTTTAGATCTTCTGAGGCCCTTCGATATATTATGGGGCCCGAGGCCTGTGTGTGGTACACACTCTGCACACCCGGTTTTTACGGCACTGTATAAAACGCAATATAGGTACACCCCAACACATACACAAAAAACAATGATTGTAAAATCGCAATACGCATTGGTCGCGTTCCGTTCTGAATCTAAAAATCTTATAGTTACCTACAAAAGTATAAAGCGAGAATATATATTATATATACGACAGTATAGTAATATAATGCAGATCGACATATAAATCCTCGTTAAAATATTATAATACAATTATTATAGTCATAGTGTACCTCTGCGTAAGTATATACAGTTAGAGTCGGTATACCAATAATAGTCGTAATAATGGCATTTGGAAAAATTAACGGGCCCGAAATCTAGCTGATGCCGGCCGTCGATTAATATAATAATATGCTGGCTACTAATAAACGATGTTTGTTTAAAATCATCGTCGACGGCCCAGGAATAAATACCGAAATCGGCACATTTGCAACTCTGAGCTCATCTGAGTATATAATTTGACCTAACCTTACGCGGACAAAAAAAAAACCTGAACGAAAAAATGGCTGCATCGCATATCGAAGAAAAGGAAATGGAAACAACTATCATGCAAATCTTGGGAAAAATAATAAGCAACGTCGAGTACGAGATTATGGAAGAAGAACTTAAACGAATAGACGACATCGACCAAGAGCCTACCATCGGAGACCTGGAAGGACTTTTATCGTATGCGACGCGCTTCGCGGGGGACGACTACGTCCCGTCCAACGTCTTTCAACCGGTCGACAAATCTGACAAAATGGCAGAACCGGTTGAACCGATCGTTGAAGTGGTCGCGCCTCCGGTGCAGGAAGCCGCGAAAAAGGAGCTGGATGGCGAGGCGGTGGGCGCCACACCGGCCAGAGGACTGGAAGTCAGAAATAGTATCGGGATCTTGATTGGTTGGCTGGACCCGGGGGTCAAGGCAGAAACACGCGCAGCTCCGCGCAGTGCAACGGCGAGACTGGTGTCCTCTGCGTGGAGAGGCCTGACGAGAGCCGCACGCGTGTTGCGCTGTTGTTGTCCCCCGAAGTGAAACCGTCCAAAAGTTTCCCCCCTGGCCGAGGGCAGCGGACAAGACGAGGCGACGTGTGGGGTTTCGAGGTAATAGGTACGCGGCAGTGCACATTCAGGTGGTGACCGGCGGTAAGTCGCCGATACACGTTCTCCGGCCATCCTGCGGCAGCGCGACGGGATCGCGGACGTTGCGAGCTCGAGGTCGCCGAGACACGCGAGACCCTCTGGCGGCGCGGCGGGCGCTCGGCTGCTTCGGTCCGAGAGCGACGACACGACGACGACGGAGGTTAGCGGTACCGGCGCGGACAACGACGCCGTCCCCGACACGGTACCTGCTCAGTGACGAACGCTGCAGTGCTGCGCGACTCGCGTGACGGCGGCGACGGATACCTCAGAGCTCACGGCGGGTGAGTGACGGATGACTATGATTACAGGGTATAGCTAGGAACGCCACGGACGTCAGCAGCGCTGGGCTCGAGGAAACGAAACGTTTCGTCGGGTTCGACGGTGCGCGGCTCCGTGGCCATCGGCTGCGGCAGACGGAGACGCCAGGGCGAAAATCACGGAGACTATCAGGACAGCGGCGCGTCGTCGCGAAGCTGTCTGCAGATTTTCTCCCTTTTTCGCCCAGTGGTCCGATCCCGAGTCGCAACGCCGCCGATTCCGCAGCTGCACCGAGATCGTAGTCGCCAGCTCGCCTCTCCGAGCTTTGCAGGTCACCGTCGTTGCCGGCACAAGCAGTCGTCTTCAGCACCCGCAGTACCGTCAAGCAGCGCACGACATCGCGCACTAGCCTCTCGTCGCCAATCGTCGTCGCTCTCGCAGCCGTCGTGGCCGGGCTTCGTCCGCTGCCATGGTCGTCTTGGCGGTCTCGAGCAAACTCGTCCGCGACTCTCGTCCGCCCCGCAGGACAGCCCGTGAGAACGTTGTAGAGGTGACCAGTGGCCATATACCAGTTACCAATACATCATCAGCACCACCAACTCGCCACCACGTTCCCCCCCACATCGCGTCGTCTTGACCGATGCTTTTTTTTTTTTGTATTTAAATTTTCTTTACTTATATCGAATAATATTCACTTTACAAATTTCGGCTTTTTCTTTTTTGTTCTAACTTTTTTTTGAACATACAAAATTGTATAATAATATAACGGCAACCGTTTCCAAAATTGTTTCCGTTTTTGAAATTATATTCAAAATTAAAAAATGTTATATTGTTT